TTCTTTCACAATGCAGTCATTTTTACTGCTTTTAGGCAATATAGGTATATACTAAGTTTCAGTCTTTCTAGTGTTAAAAAAGCGGCTCGATAAATATCCTTTTCTTTTTAAACATCGTATTTTTTATATCGTCATTATCGGGGACGTATTTGGGAAAATGTTGATTGCGAAAGCTGGCGTATCCTGCCGACTTTAATATTGCTTACATAAGCGAAACAAGAGAAATTGTATCATTTTGTTCCTTAAGGTTGCTCTTGCGAGGTAAAACTTTCACTGCGCGTTTATTATAACGCATACCGTAAGAACGTTCGTGTGCTGTCTCATGCGACTGACCACGAACGATAATGTTCTTCCTGTTATTATTCTTTTCATGTATTCTTCCATACGCGCGTCTGCGATAATTGCCGCGAGAGGCCATGGGTTTCTTAATTCCAAACATTTTAATAAGAGAATGCCCGTGAGAAATAAATAGGCAACTGTTCTTGCATCTTTTCCCTTCGGCAGTCTCTGCAATTTATTCATTTTTATTTTTATTCGTAAACATTGAAAATACGTTGTTATATTTTACAGAATGATGGACTGCTATACAGCAGCGATACTTCTCGCGCTGATACAATGCAACTGGTCCCTGGCATTGTCAGCGATGGTCCTACCGAGGCCGCCTTCCTCCCCGAATTACATCCAACGGTTTGACCGAAAGTCCAGCGAGCAAAAACTGTACGAAGACAAGTCTTTGCAAGGCTTCTTGCCTCGTCCCAACGCGGAACGAACAAATACGAACGACTACAGGTATTAATCAGATCTGTATTTTACATCAATTTCATATATGCGTCATAAAAGTGTCGAAAATGATTCTTCTTTTAAAATATTGTAAGAAGTTTTCAATTTTATATACTCTAATAATCGATTCAAAATTTTTTAATAATTTATTTTATCAAACGACGATTCGAAGATTTCTGTTAGCAGGTTTTTTTTTCATGCATTACTTTATACAGTTTAAGAATTTAGTTTAATCGAGGCGAGTCACTTTCGTTTCTAGCTAATCAATAGACACATTTCTATGTACAGGCACTTAATCTTTTCCTTTTTCTTTAAACACCCATCGACCAGTAAACTGAAATCACATGCAGTCGTACCGCCCGGTAGAACGACTTTCCCTCTCGACGTAAAAGTACAGCAGAAATACACACAAGAAGTAGGCGAAATGATTAATGTCATCTGAACACTACGAATCGGTTTCATTAACAAAACTGCAATTATATGTATCAACCGCGAAACTGGTTTCCCAGCCTCGTTCCGCTAACAACTTTCAGCTTTTATAATAGCGCCAGTATGTTGTACTTTCAAATCTGGATGTGTAAACTGCATGGAAAAAACCTTGGCTAGGTTTCGTACCAATGCGTGAAACAGTTTTTTCTTACTATTAAAAAGCTACTTGCAAAATTTTAAATCAATTCGTGAGTTTTTTGAAAAATTACAGTGGCTTAAAATTTGCATAACCCAAAGTAAACTTTCTGGTATTTGGTGTGCGCGAAGTTGGAAGGAACAACTGACTTGAGGAAATACAAGCCTAAAAAG